CTGTTTAACATCCTTGTTGGTGACATGGACAGTGGGATTGAGCATACCCTCAGCAAGTTTGCCAACAACACCAAGCTGTGTTGACACACTGGAGGGGAGGGATGCCATCTAGAGGGACCTGGACAGGCTTGAAAGATGGGCCCGTGCAAACCTCATGAAGTTCAGCAAGGCCAAGGGCAAGGTCCTGCACATGGGTCGGGGCAATCCCAAGCACAAATACAGGCTGGGCGATGAGTGGATTGAGAGAAGCCCTGTGGGGAAGACTTGGGGGTGTTAGTGGATGGGAAACTGACTGTGAGCCAACAATGTGCGCTCACTGCCCAGAAAGCCAACCGTGTCCTGGGCTGCATCAAGAGAAGCGTGACCAGCAGGTCAAGGGAGGGGATTCTCCCCCTCTACTCTGCTCTGGTGAGATCCCACCTGGAGTCCTGTGTCCAGTTCTGGGGCCCCCAACATCAGAAGGACATGGACCTGCTCGAGTGGGTCCAGAGGAAGCCACGAAGTTGGTCAGGGGGCTGGAACACCTCCCTTATGAGGGCAGGCTGAGGGAGCTGGGGGTGTTCAGCCTGGAGAAGAGAAGGCTGCAGGGTGACCTTATAGTGGCCTGCCAGTGCTTAAAGGGGGTACGGGAAAGGTGCGGAGGGACTCTTGATCAGGGGGTGTGGGGATAGGACAAGGGGTAATGGTTTTAAACTGAAAGAGGGAAGATTCAGATTAGATATAAGGAGGAAATTCTTTCCAGTGAGGGTGGTGAGACCCTGGCACAGGCTGCCCAGAGCAGCTGTGGCTGCCCCCTCCCTGGCAGGGTTCAAGGCCAGGTTGGACGGGGCTTGGGGCAACCTGGGCTGGTGGAAGGTGTCCCTGCCCATGGCAGGGGGGTTGGAACTAGATGATCTTTAAGCTCCCTTCCAACCCAAACCATTCTATTCTATGATTCTATAATTATTATCAGTCCTGAAAAAAACCTATGTATTATGCAATTGCTGTAACAATAACCAAATACATGGCTATAAATTACCTTGCAAAATACATATGCTTCCATTGGGATGTTTAGTCAATTCACATTCTATCTTCACATAATACACTTGAAAAGCCTATTTAAAAATAAGATATGAAGCATTTTTAGCTTGAACTGTCATTTCTCAGATTCAGTTTTCAAGCATTCAGATTGATGAACTGGGTAATCATGGAAAATTAGAGTATTACTGGGAAAGACTGAGATTTGTGTTCTGGAGGTGCATTTAACTAGCAGAAATCGTTATTCTTTTTTATACACCCAGCAGAAGCTACCTTTTTCATTTAGAAACAATAGGAGAAAAAGAACAGATAAAAAAAAAAAACTTCAGCACATGATTATCAGGAATAAGTCAGAACAGTCTGATTACCCTCACTCCTAACTCCTCAAATACCATCACTCTTCTCATGCGTCCAAAGAAAACCTTCTGTATTCTGTCGAAGTCAGGCACAACTTCCTCTATGCACTTCTTGATTTACTATTCATATGAGGAAGAAACCACCTTCTTCAATCTTTCAGTTACCCACCACATCTAGAAGGCTTTGGCAAGTTTCTATATTTAAAAGATGAGGCATGCCAAAGACAGATTAGTACCATTCTCTTCAAAACCATTCAGGCAAGTGTTTAGGTAGCGAAAGCACTGAACAACAAGAGCACTTCAAAATATTATTAACTTTACAGTTGTTTTTTCCTAGTTATCAACATTAAAAAATGTACAGGCAATACAGAGTTTCTAAAAATCTTACACTGACAGAGTTGCTCTCTACTAAGATGTAAAAGTTCACATCTAAAGTAAAATGAACTGTGAAGTATCCATCTCAAATATTATTTTCCACTTCTTTTCCCCCTTCCAAATGACCTTAAATATATTCAGAAATATATAGAATACATTTGATGACACTTGATATGTGATTTATTATATGATCATTAGTACTAGTTTCAGGTCATCTGGGAGAAGTACTATAGCAGAACTTCCTTTCACTAAGAAACAAAGAAGAACCTCTCTAAGTTGACTCAACACTTAGCAATAAAGGCATTCTGGTTCAACTAGAAACTCCCAATAAATACTTCAGCACAGGAAAAAATAGTTGCATGTGATTTGGGCTCCTGGTGTTGGACTTCAGTCAAAAGAATACTCCTCTACCCACCTCTGTATTCTGCCTTACAAAGAAGTGCTGCAATGGAGAATTTCTTCACGCACACGTCCTGTAAGCACTTTCAGTACTTACCTTTAAGCCATCCAACTCGTGCTATCGAGCCCCATAGAACAAATAGAATAAACCCTAGGTAATATTTAAATACAAATGTGTAACCTTTTTAACAAAGGATGTTAGCTGCCTTAGAAATACTATGGTTTAGATAATATTTTTGCTACCAACAAAACAAAAACCCTTACTCTTATTTCTCCAGCCTCTTAATTGACAAGTAAAAATGGGTTATGTTTTGGTTTTGTTTAGTTTTTGTTTTTTAAATCCCATAAGTGTTTTTCAGGGGAGGTAGCTGCAAGTATCCTCAGGCAGTTCTTTTCATACATTCTTATTCAGAAATTCATACGCGAACTTTTCCGTTTCTATCATGCTGAAACAGACAACTCAAGATTGGAAAAGATGCTGATTATAAAATATGTAGGACAGATGCTGTACCTTTAAATAAGTACAGGTAAGCTATGCAGCCATTTAGAAGTTCACTGTGTAACCATTTTTGCTAATAAGAAACCAAACTAAAATAATTGGAGAAAAAAAACCCAAAACAACATTAACACAAATACTTGTAAGACAATACTGAAGAGAAATATGGGCAAGAGCAAAGCAACTGGCACTAGGAAGTAGCAAAAAGATTTACCAGTGCTCTCCTCTCGAAGTGAGATGCCAAAATGCAAAGAGAAATTCCTGGGTTTCGCCAGGCGGCGCCCCAAGCGCACAAAGCTGTTCGCGGTTGTTGCTCCTATTTCCACACTTGTAAACAAAGTTCGAAGCCTGTTCAATCACAAATCTTACTAAACCAGCAGATTCTAGGGAACTACTAATTGAAACCATCTTAACACTTTCACCACATTGTCCAAATTAATTTAGACTGTCCCCAAAACCACAATACTATTTGTTACACTTCAAAATTAGTCAGCTACTAGGCACAAATCCCTCTATAACCACATGGATTTACAGCCTCAGTTCTACGCACAGTCAGACCATTTCTTTAGTCATGTTCACATTTAAGTGCAGGAAAACAAGGCTGCAAGCAGGCAGGGTAGGAAGCATGGCTTTTAAAATTAACTGCCCATTCTCGCATTTTATTTACTCTCCACTCCTGCAGTACCTGTTCAATATTCTGCCCTCGCAGCTCCAATCCAGCCAATTTTACAAACCAGTTAATTTTACAATCCAGTTACCTATAGCTTTGCTCAGGACTAGTTCCCATGCCTAACCAACCTGCCAGGCTTCCCCATCATTGCTACTTCATAAGGTCCCCGGCATAAATAAAAGCATTAGCTTTAAATGTCATACTGCCCACCAATTAACTAATAGATAAATACAACATTTTAGTACCTTCTAATAACTTCTAATTGAGTTCAGATAAGTAACAGGGATGCCTCCAAAAGCCCATTCCAAAAGCGTGTGTACTATTGTAACAGACAATAAACAGCAAGCTACTGGAGTCTATAAACATTTGTCATTATTTCCCTTGAAAGACAACTTCCCTAAAATTGTGGAAAGCATCACTAGAACATCCTCATCTTCCTAATCATAATTCCTTCATGGTTTTTCCCCCTGAAGAAATTGCTAAAGGTAAAAAAAAAAAGCAGCATTACACATTAGAGTAACAGCTGATTAATAACTCCTTGCAACTCTTCTAAAAGACATACATTTTTTTACACTGAAATGCATTAAACAGACATAAGAAACTACTTCTATAATGTTGCATTTAAGTTATGATTTCCTTTCAGTCTAACAGTAAATCTCATCTCCACCTTCCAAGACGAGATACAAGTATTTCCAAAGCTTTGGTGGAAGATGTGTAAAACAAACTGCTATATTGCTCGTAAGGGATCTGGTAAGCAGCTACAGTATGCTGTCGTTGTAAAACATTGTATTTGAGACACCCGAAACGCCCAGGGCTTCAGACAAGTACTTAGATATCACTTACTTAAAAGAGTATGAACACAGTCACATCAACACTGCCAGTGCACAGTTCATTCAGCAAGTGAAGACTGCTCAAATGGCTTCCCTCCCTCTCAAGAGAAAATACTGAGCACTTTGTAAGTGGCTTCGAGAAAGTAACTTCAGCCTTACAGTAACGGTCTGAAGTCTTGCACATTATACGACCTAAAACATATAATACATACAAACACAGTACTATATACTGCTGCTAGAAGTTATCTTCCTGCTATCTGCACATAACCCCACCCCTTTTAATAAAGTCCTGTAGCTCCAAACTCAGGGACAATACTCTTCCATTTTTGCAAGCAGCAAACCTAAGCATGCTGGGGGAAAAAAAAAAAGAAAAAAAAAATATATATAGGTCCACAGAAGAAATGTTAACATGGAAGAGACTAACTTAAATGAGAAGCTAGACAAAAGCATTATGAATCAACTCTAAAATTTGAGTATTCAGAGTCATACAATCTGCAATGGCGAGATTCTTAGCATTAGGAGTTAGCAATGGTTTTGTGTGTTTTTTTGTTAGTATTTCTTTGGTGGCAGTGGGTTTTTGGCTTGGTGTGTTTTGTTGTGTTTTGCTTTGTTGTTTTAAGCTAATAACTTATAATAACTTAAAATAACTTTCAAGCTAATAATCTTCTCAGCATTATGAATCTCATCTACCAATAAGAACTAACCAAAACACCACTTAGTCCAATTTGTGTAAATTTAAGAATGCAAATCACAATGAACAAGCATTTACAAGGACATCACAGAGATCATGTCATGATGAGGAAAAATAAACACAAGTGAGTGAAAAAAATGTGATGATGTGCTGCCAGGCTCCTTACCCATTGCTGCTGCTGCTGGAGCTCCCTGATGGTATTCTCAGCTTGCTCCAGTTTAGTAATGGCCTCATCACTCTGCTGTTTGATGGTGGCCAGCTCCCGTTTTATGAGGTAGTTTTCCTCAGCCTCCTGGGCCCTTGTCACTTGTCCCTTAGGACATAATTTTTTTTTTTAAGCAATTGAGGACAAATCCAAGAAAGACTGCCTTTGTGATGCTTAGCTGCTTATTTCATCAGATTGATTTTGCAAACAGCATAGAGCACAACTGGTATAAATTTTAGGACAAGGTAGTACTAAACAGCTGCTTTAGTGCTTCATTACAAAGTCCAGCATCCGTTTAGCAAGCACAATTGCGTACTTGCATTCAGTAAAATTCCTTTCATGCAATATTACTCACTTGTACATGCACAGATTTAAGTTTGCAATATTCAATTTCAGAGTTAATACAGTGTCAGAAAATCCATTTGTCATAGGGATTTGTACCAAAAAATTATATTATGTTAGGAAAATTATTATAACGTGCAGGTATTGGAGTTACATATTTTTAGTAAACAAAATTAAACAAGTTTCTAGCAAGAGATTAACTCTATATTTATTCCAAGTCAGCAAAGCAGGAATAGAACACAGCATGCAAATACGCATGCATTAAAGCAGTTTGGGGTGTTTTGAGAGTAGGAAGAGAGTCATACAGTAAAAGACTAAAAGACTATACCTGTATCAATCTATCTGCCAAGGAAGCACTTTCCTACAAAGGAAAAATTCAGATAGGAATAAGGAAAAGAAAAACCAAAACACGAAGGGATAATAATAGTGACAAAAAAAGACAAGAGCTGAGAGAAAGAAAATGCCCAAATTCTACCCATTTTCTGTACAAACTCTTTTTGCAAAATTAACAACTCTTCATGCAAATTAAGGCAACTCAGTCTGAAAGTCTCAGGAAGCAGCCTCTTCCACAAAACATTCAACACAGTCTATCTTTGATACAAGAAGATCTCAAAGCCAGATTTCCGTAACATTTAGAATTCACCTACAAGAGACTGGGTATTTTTATCTGAATGGCTTGCTTCCCTAATTAATAAAATTTACCGACACATTATCTGATACGATCTAGTAGGTAGATGTGAGATGTGGTCTATGGTCCATCCACAAGATGAAAGGAAGGCATAATTTGAGCACAAAGAAAACTCCACTAAGCACAGAGGCATTCATGCAGAACTAAAGCTTTCAAAAAGATGATGCAGAAAAGTTAAATGGTGCAAACTGACAGACACAAGTAGAAAATTTCAACTATGACAGCCAATGTTTTGTTTTACTGAACTCTTGCAGTAACTCAGTTGAGCAGTTCATAGATTCTCTTTCCTTGCCAAAGTTTTGCAAGAAATAAATTTTCATTTATGCACATTGACAGGCACTACACTCCCACCAGCTGCACATTTAATTTCTACTCTGTCACCCTTGAAATCACTCAATTTTTGCAGATTCTAGAACAGAGAAAACATCTAATCATAGACCTTCTTTGTCCTTGGAACTTTTATTAAAATTCAAGTTCAAACTGGTTTATAAGAGCTATTACTTTGTAGTTAGGATAAGATGTTTGTCATTAAGGTACACGAAGGAAATCACTACTAAATCATACATGTTAGGATGAGGAAAGAATATTTTAAAATAAAAAGAAGTTTCCAACAGAACTGAATGAGTTACTTCACACTTTATGATCTGTTTTTCTGATGCTGTGATGATAATGATCTTCAGACATTCTAACTGATAGATAATATTTTCCCCTTTTGAAATGTTCTAATTCCAGTCAGAACAGGATACTCTGAAAATTAATTCTGAAATTTAAAGTACAAAATTTGCAAAAGTGCTAGTGTCTCGCAGTTCATCATAGACTTCCTAATTAAAAAAAAAAACAACCCTGATTTCAAACCTCTGCAAGTTAAGCATTAAATAGGGATATTTACTATTGTGAATTTGCCAAGAGCATTGAAGTGATTCACTACAGCTTCAAACTTCTTAAAAAGAGTCTGCTCTCTTCACTTAATTTTATCAGCACTTCAATATTAGAAACAAAGATCTTTATAAATTTGTATTTTTGGTCACAACTTTTGCAATGTCCTTATGTACATTTTTCCAAACTGAATTCAGAAATCAATTAACTAGAATTTGACATATATTGACTGTTTTTCCAAGAAACTGTAATGGATTTAACATCTCAAGTGTGACATATTCCAAATATGCTAGACTAAATTGAACCTTTACCATTTGCTTCCCTGTGAAAAATGAGCAACTGCTTGCAACTCACAAGAGCATTCAATTTCACTTGTTGAAAGACAGTTGTTATTTGTGGGTAAGATGAACAAGAATGTTCTCATTCCAGAGCAGACCAGCTCAGATGCAATCTGTCACAGAACGCATGATACCAGACTATAAGAGAGTCCACTGGAGAACAATATCTGCATGTTGGCACCATATCGACAAGTTATCATGCATACCTTTAAAGTTATATCCCATTACAAAGAAGTCTAACAAAACTCTCTTCCAGACTAAATCTGTGAGAAATAAGTCTTAAAAAGATATTCTCACCACCACCCCCCACCACGTACCCAGAATTGCTACAAAAATTCAAAAACTATGTAAAACAAATCAGTGGCAGCAGACTTCCTGTACTGAATGTGAATGCTGCAACACCACCCCTCTACAGCTGTATTCACTAGCAGTGAAGTCATTTGCTTTCATCTCCATCTCTCTCTGGTCATTGGTAGGTCTCATTTTGCTCCTACATAAAAACACCCAGCAGCTTCAGATTTTCAGAATTGAGGATTCTCTCACAATAACCTCCTTTCCACCCAAGCAGTCCACTATTTCATGTAGTCTTCTGGACTTTGAACAGATGCTTCTAATTTAGAAAGAAAACAGTACAACAAAAGTTGGATATGTCAAAACATCTGATTTCATATTCACTAAGAGCCAGACATAGCAAGCTTAAACATTAGCAATCACAGACCCTAACTGCTTTGTTGTTGCCATGCTGTTTGGCTAAGCATTGATAGTAAACACCATAGATTAGCAGGAAAAACAGTAAACTGTAATTCTGAGATTCCCATTTAATATGGTAAAATTCCCATCAATTTAAGTATAGATTAACACAGATTAAATCTGATCACCAGCATACTTACTTTTTCTAACGTTTCAATGCGCTGTTTTAGGAGTCTATTTTCAGTTCGTAACCTCTGGAAGGTAAAAGGTTCAGAATTGTATTTCTCAAGTTATGAATTGGAAGTCTGATAAAAGCCAAGCAATCTAACAATGCTTTTACCTCATCACATCTATGAAAACCAATATAAATACAAAAATAATTAGTGATGACTTAAACATTCTTTTATATGATGTACTAACTCAAAAGATGAGTTTGATACAACAAAGATGAGAAGAAGTCTTATCTTATGTGAAAGCACTTGTGTTGCATTAGGTGAAAGCAGCAAGTTGCCAGGTGAACCATAGGGCTTAACCACACATCAGATTTGACAGCCTCCTCTTCACGAACAGAGCCGTACACAATCTTCATGGTTAAGGGCCATGAAAGTGCACTCTCTGCAGCAGGACAGGCTAATGAGATAGCTACAAGGTTTCCTTCCTTTTCCTCCCAGTAATTTATCTTAAATTACATAATAATATTCATTTAATCTGTAAGGTTATGCTAAGAATTATTTACCTCAGATGTCCCAGAAGTGAGAAAGGATTGTACTGAATTGCATATTTTACCAGTGCATTCCCTGTAAATTTTAGCAGTCAGTGTTCAGATAGAAGAGATCTGTATCCCTGAGAATAGAGGCATGGATACCAGTTCAGTAATGTTTTATTCTGCCAGGCTAAGAGGCAGACTCCATGTGCTCATTCTTCCACCTCACTAAAATAGCAGAAGAGAGTAAGTCAGAAATGGTTTGTACCAGGTCCCAAAGCAGGGCCTGGAAACAGACAGCATTGGGTTGTTGGGTTTGGTTGGTGGGTTGGGGGGTTTTTTGTTGTTTTTTTGTTTGATTGATTTTGTTGAGGTGTCTTGGTGGTTGCTTTTGGGTTTTTTTGGGGGGAAGGGGGCAGGAGCAGGGCAAAGCAAGGAAGGATTTGATTTAAATTAGAATAATAGAATCTAACGTTACAGTTGTCTTTCAGATTATTTTATTCTGTCCTGCTCTGCCATTTAAATCCTGCAGATCTTCTGATTTCAGAATACAGACCATTACAGCAGGTCCTAATGCTGCTAACTGCCTCACTGCCTGTTACAACAATAACAAACTGCCTGAAAAAAGCTTGCAACACTTTTGTGCTCCCAGGTGCATATCACTGACTTCTTCTGAAGAACCAATGCCTTAGAAACTGATATTGAAAGGCAAAATGATTAGCAGTGGACAGGAAGGAGGAAGGCTGTACCTTGCTCCCTCTACTAAGCTCTATATATTACACTTGCCCATCATTTCTCCCATTGCCTTTTCTCATGCAACTGGCTAAAAACATGACACAAGGAAGCAAATCCAGACCAAACACCATGCTGTAAAAACAATGTGAGAAAGGGGGGTGGGGGGGGGGGTGGGGGAAAGGCAGCAAAAGCCTATTTATCTCACAAAAGCAAAAAGATGTAGTGATTAAGTACATAGGAAGACAGTTAGTAAAAGGGAAACAAACTGCACTCGCATGATGATTTTTTTTTTTTTCCACATTATGTCTCAATTGCAAAAGCTCCAAAAGAAAAAGTGACTGCAGACAGAAAACACTCAATCTTCGGTCCAATGCATAAAAAAAATCAAGACCTCAAAATCAGTGTTAAGCCACTCAACTGCATTCTGATAAACTCTATCTTAACGTGTGTCTTGTAAGCCTCCTGTGTGGGACACCTACATCTAAACCAGCATGTTCAGAACCTCTGATAAATGACGCCACCTGTAATCAAGCTTTAGTCAGCAGAAAATAATGAAAACTAAATACAGCAGGTCTCCATCAAACATTTTTCTTTATATGTCCACCAGAAGTCTCAGTAATTTCACTTCAAGTGTCCTTTATGAACAGACATCCGAAATACAAATGCTGAAAGAAGATAATTTGGGGACCTCAACTTTATGTCCTGCTACATATACAGATCAAATACGTAACCCCCCATGTAGAAATTAAACTGATCCATAAATAAATTTGGTGAGGCTCTCTTACTTTAATTTCAACTTGTTCTTCCATTTCTTTTGTCTTTATTGTAGTGTATTCCTTTTCTAACCTAAAAATTAGAAATTGTAAATTACAATTAGAAAAATTGCAGATAACTTACTTTTTGGTGTTATACCTAACAAACAACAGTAGAACAGAGATACAGATTGATGTTTCCTCTGTTTAAGTGGCCACTTGAAATGCAATCCTGTAAGCATTTAGACTGGACATTAAATTTAAACACAAAGACTTCTGTAGGTACGAACAGACCCTGAACCAGTGCTCTGAAGTGCAGGTGCCTGCTTGTATACATTTACAGTGGCAGTGATTTGGAGCTACTTGTAATAACCATTAAATGTAATTATATAATAATCAATTCAATAGATTCGGCCAAAAGAAAACAAAGCTTGGAAATTCTGGAAGACAGAAAGATGCAAAGAAATTTGAGACAAATATCTTAAACATATAAAACAATTTTGGCCCCTCTCCAGCAAACCACAAAACTGTCCCAATTCGGAAAGGTGGCAACAAGAAAAAACAAGCTGAGATAAACAACGCCTCTACAAAGGCAACCAAGGAAGTTTAGACTCAGAATGGCAGGTTGTTAGACTATCTACACTTATATCGACTTCCAGAAAAAATGTTTTTGCTGAAAGCTTTGTTACTCCTGTTTTAGAGGAGACTGCTTGCTCTACAGCACTGATCATAGGCCACTGACAGAAGGATCGGCAAATTCAACTTAAAAGACCCTAGCACAAACTGCAGTGCAAGAACAGTGAATGTACAATACATTACAACCAACCAGAGAATCGCCAGACTTAAACCTGGAGAAGCACAATATGTACAACTTGGTTTATCAAAACGTAATTTACCGAAGGCAGAAATGAGAAGACATGCAACTAACTTTAAAAAAAATAGTAGTATTATGCTCAGGATTTCAAACCCCAAATGAAAGTTGTTTTACAATTATCAATGGTATTACGAAGTTTCATCAATTTATATTTTAAACAGCACTCATCTTCACCATACATGCACTCTTTAGCACTGTGAATACTAAAGTCTCAAGAACTTAGGCCAGATCATAAAATTTAACCTCCTTTCCCTAATTCACTCAAAAAACAGAGTAATTCCTCCTCTCAACTCCTGACACCCCCCCACACACACACTGCTTTTTCTATTCAGATCCTGTTCAAAGAAGTGCCATAATTCCCCATAATCTACAGTTTTCAAAGGCTTTTTTAGGTTATTTTAAAGTGAGATATAGCTCTATTATATGTAAGATAAAAAGCAAATACTTCTTTTAGAAGAATTTCTGCAGACAGAACTTCAGTTTTAACTGTAAAACACCAAAAAATTTAAAGATGGAAAATTCCAAATGAAATACTGAATAGCTAGTTTCAAATATAAACAAACAGTAGCTCTTAGCAACAGTATAATCTATTTTCTCAAAATGTTATACCTACTTTTTCATCTTTTTTGCATTGTATTTGACTTGGTAAGATGCTTGGATTAATTTGTCTGGACCATTGTCAAACTGATGTGGAATGACCTTTTGAAAGTGCTAAAAGCAATCAGAGCACAAGATTACATATAATTAATAGCTGAAAGGAAATACACATGCACATTACACATTTCAGACATCTCTTAAAATTATTATAATCTTAATTTACCTGTAACATTCCTTCCATGTCAAGTTGCAGTAATTCTGCTTGGTTCATCTGGAGTACTGCTAAACCTACTCGAAATACTATCTCTAAACCCTGAAAACAGAAGTTAAGAAATATCCAACAATTATTCACAGCACTGTCAACAGTACAGAACAATTCTATTTACTAGTGTTGGAAATCTCACCCAGTTTCTCAAACAAGCAAAAGGACTAAGGAAAAAATCTCTCAAATTGCTTCTGGGTTTCTTTTTTTGTTCCAAGGACAAGTAGTCTGGCTGTTTGTCCTGATGCCAGACCAAACCTCTCAGAGAGGCTAGTGCTGAAGTAAAAACTCCCGAGTCACACATGTTCTCTATGTCAGTTTTATCAAACATTTTAAATATATCTAGTACAAAAAGACCCCACGTACATCTCAAAAAAGCCATTTTAAATTTCAGACATAGTACATCACAGTTAAACTATTTAAACAGATACAAGGGAATGTCTCGCTCATATACACTATCTTGGACATTCTTGAGTGTAAGCTGAAAGGATTCACCTTTGACTTACTATTTTCTAAAATATGATTGCAGAGAAAGAGCATAAATGGACCATAAGCTTTGTTTTGTTACCAATTACAACCACACAAAGCTCTAATCCTAAACACAATTTAGGTGTCTTCATGATAGTGACACTGAATAATACCATTAATTTATTTGGCTGCAGTTCACCATCTGGACAATAAAAGATGCCAACACTCCCTCTTCTTGGCCTGCCCATCCCCACAAAGCTTTAATTTTGGCCTGAAAGCAGCATTAATTCCACCCCAAACTTACTGTAATACTGAAAAAACGATGTCCCTGCTGTATGCAGTGCCATTGCATTGCATCCAGAATGGACAGATTTGGTTTCAAGAGGCTTAGAGTACAAAATTGTATACAGCATCTACATTCAAAGATTTAGTTGCTCTTCCTTGACAAACTACATACACAGACATGATTATCAAATGATTTTGCAGGGGAAGGTAAGGACTAAAAAGCAAGACTATTTGAGATTTGCCCATCATAATGGGATTTATACTACTACCTAAACAACTGCTTTTAACAGCTACTCTTGAAATACAACACATGAATATTGAGGAGTTACCTCAGACATGAAGATATCAAATATTCTCGTTGCAATTGGTAGTGGAAAAGTTGTAAGGAATATAGTTAAAAACCATGATGATGCATACATAGAAGTATGGAAGCTCTGAGACTGAAAGTGCACATAAAGCTCTGGAAGATGCTCCTGGAAAAGGAAGAAAAAAAAATATATGTTATGCCTCTCCTGGTAGCTTTCGTGTGACCATGTTTGTGACAAATCTTGCATAAAATAAGAAAATAATTGATATTTAGTACAGACAGCAGCTTTGTAACACAGGACTAGGAAAGATATTTCTCATCCTCATCAAGAACAATACAACGTAACTCCCAGTATAGAAAGCCCTACAGCACTTCTACCCTGCAAAGCACAGATTACAAAAACATTTCCTGATACTAACAGGAAGTCATGAGCTTGTAAATCCCTAAATCACATCTAGAGTGGGCTACAGAAGAGCTGGAGAGATCTAGGGTATGGCCAGAGACCATTTCCTACATACTATCCCACCACTGATGATCATGTTAGGAACTGGATCACAAAACACAAACCTATTTGTCTCTATCAGCCTGACCAGGAAGAAAAAGTGTTCTGTGTACCAAATCTGAACACAATTTTAATTCTACGTATGAGGTTATCTCCCAGTTTCCATCTTTTAGAATATCTATGAAGACAGTAACTATGAAGACACTGACTTTCAGAATCTTCAATTCAAACAGAAATAGACACTCTTATGCTTAAACTGCAGCAATACAAATCCTCATCCTTCAGTGTTTAAAGCCAGTCACTGTCTGCCAAAGGTTAAAAAAGTAGACTATGCAGACACATGCATTTACCTCAAGTTCTGAAACTAACTACTGCCAAAAGAACAACCTACTAGCCAACAGACATGCCTGCTCTTAAACTGTAATTCAAGTTCCTTATTAAAGGTTGCTGAAGAGAAAGTTTGAAAGATTTCGTACGTACCTGTATCATGCATTCAAACTGGTACATACAAAGGCCCAGTTCAGCCATGCTTGGTTTAAAGAGTTCTCGTAGTCTGTAATCTTGCATTAATTTAACAAACACACAGAATGCCTCTTCTTCTGGCATCTATATTAAAAATAAAAAAAGCACAGTAAAAACTCTAGACAAACGTAAAGATATATCAGAGTAAGTGCCCGGGAGGGTTTAGTTTGTTTGGGTTTTTTGCATGCGTGCGTGCAGTGGGATTTTTTGGAGTTGTGTTTTTTTGTTTATGTTTTGCTTTCTTTTGTTTTTATGGGTTTTCTAATCAATTGCTGTAATGAATTTTTGTACACATTGAATTGTAGCAAGTGATTTCTAAACTGAAATGGAGGTCTGCAAGTATACTCTGTCATAGAACAAAAGGCAGTAATACACAGGCAACTAAGATTATCAAATCAACTGTGAAACTCTATTTGAACTCTGAGGAGATTCAGTGTAATAGAATTGATAATAGAATTCAAATGAGAAGGTTGTTATTAGTTGAAACAACATTCATCAAAATCGTTTGCAAGTTTGCAATCCCAACTTAGCTCTGAGAAATAAATATGTTCTCCCACTCAAAGATAGTATCTTCTTGGCAAACAGAACCACAGAGAATAAATCTCATTTAATTTGCAGAGTAAACAGCTGCCCTTGACAATTCCATTGTAACAAAATGATCAAAGAAAACTATTATGAAAATTCCCCAAAACCCACTATGATATATTATGCATTCTAGTGGGGATTCTAAAGGTTTATATACAAAAAAAATCATGTTTACCTGCATAAGCAGTAATCCAACTATAAAAGCACTTCCTTGACAGTATCCAACCTCACGATCCACCAAAGAATAAGCCTGGGAAATAAAGTTTTAAGACTCTCAACAATTAAAACGTAATTATCAATGAAAAGTAATCATAGTTGATGTTGTTCTTCTGCTAATAATTTACTCTTCCTCTCCCAAATCCAGGGAGGACAGACATCCTACTCAAAAGTTTTAGTCAGATACTTTAGTTGCTACCTACTGCTACAGAGGGCTATGAACTCTGCTCTCTGATAGCCTACAAAGCTAATAATACTAAGGCATACTTAAAGAAAAATACATGACGTTTTCATCTACAGGAATTTGCCAAAAGGTAACAGAGACAGTTGGCATACAAACTGCACAAGGTTACTACTTTTATAGGAGACAGACCAGACAAAGAAGCAACAGTTCTTTTCAGAAGAATTAGGTGCTGCAGTTTTATTTACAGGTGGAGGAAATGTGGTGACCTCCATGCATGTTGCATCTTCATTTTAGAGTTACGGAAGTTTCTATGATTTGGAAAACTGCCAACTTTTCTGTTTAAACTATGTTGTATGGAAAAGTCTGTCTTTCAAAATTTAAGCTCTAGTACAATGAAGACAAAATAATGCAAACTTAATTTTATGGTGGCATTCTCATTTTGTGCTTGGGCATTGTAACAGCTACACATTAGCTTGTACCTGCCATTTGCTGCAACCACTTGCAGGTTCAGAAACATGTGAAAACTGAATGCTCTATTCTGATTTACAGTGTTCTTGGTCAACATTGTTTATTTGACTTCATGGCACACTTTATTCCATTATACTATCAGCAGTTATCATGTGACTGTTTTAATGCAAACTTACTAAGTTTTTGAAATCTCTTATAAAGTAAAATCATTAACTATAGGAATACCATATTTGAAAGCGATCTTGGAAACTAGAATGTAATTTGCTAAACCATACCAATGACGAGTAAGTTTAAAAAAACACCAAAACTTAAACACACGAAACTGATGCCAGTTCACTATACACAAGGCAAATTATTTTCCAAACTTTTGTACGTGTTCTTGCTAATGTATTTTCAAGGGCTGAAACACTGACTTACCTTCATCACATTGAACAAGACCTCCTGTCCAAGGCTGTCTTTTTCTTTAAAAAAATCATGTTCAGGGTATGTTCTAGCAATGTCCCTTCTTATTAATTTCTCACAAGGAGATGTCATTTTCAAAAGCTCTGAATACTGATCCTTAATTGGCATGCTTTGAGCACTGCATAAAAGCTGCCAAACAATTGCTCTGAAATGATGAGGTATCCCTTTTCGAACAAGCTCCTAAAGCACAGAGACACACAAAATCATTTTTATTTCATGAAAATATAAACATAATCCTAAAGAACAAAATACTTTGACAAATTAAGTTCCTCACAACTTCAGAAAATGTTTACATCATGTCACAAACCAGTCGTACAGTTTGCAATGTGTAAACCTCAATTTTAGTGTGATAGATTGTTAGTTAACAAAAGTAAGGACACTCTGAATCCTTTTTATAGGCCAAATTAGCTAATGAAAGTAGTTCCCTATTCATAGTAAGCTACTTGAAAAACTGAATATTCAAGTAATTTTAAACAAGAACTTCCATTAGCCAGAAGTTAATACAATTATTTTTGTATTTCACAAAAGATGACTGAAGATTACACCCTTAATTGTATTTGTAGTGTTTGAGATATAAGAAATCACCAATTAAAAATTATTTCCAAGACAGGTAAATGATAAAGTGAAACTAAGTGTAGCACAGCCAACTGCAACAAAAAAAAATTGCACAGTACTACTATCAGAAGTCATTTGACAAACTTGACAAGTTGTGTCTAATTTCTACGGTGTGCCAGTACTTCCAAGTTGCCTTTTAAAAAAGTATTTAAATGTAGTTTCAGATACTGAACCAAGAAAACATTCAGTTCACATCTACAGAATTAACTAAATTTACTTTATCTTCCCTGAAAAAAAAAATCAGCTAGGCATTATACAATTAAAACGTTCCCAAATCAATAGATATAAGAACCAGATACTTGTCTTTTCAGAAAGAACAAGCAGAAAGTAGTCTTACTGCTTGATCTGAAAACTGAGAAAAAAATTATGACTCAAGAAGTTTACAGACTTAGTGGTACTTTCTGCAACTAGGATCAGACTGACCTAGAAGACTGTCTCAAGACAAGAGGGTTCCTTTAATTATTATTTGTACTTTAAGAACAGTTGTCAAGTATTCTGTCTCCTAAAGGATAGTGTCTTTCACTTGTATTTATTCTGAAGCCAGAGTAATAATCTATTCTCCAAAGCTCCCTCTTTTTCCTGTTCCAAATATTCTTCCTACTTCTCCAAACATTAATTAATGCAGCAGTGATAACTTTTAAAGATAAGACTCTTGCTTTCAAGCTTTGTTTTTGTTAAGCTTTAACTCTACTGCAGGAGTTTTGCATCACTGACCTCAATTTTCTAACATCCCTAAGATCTCCAGCCTTCTTCAGAACCATCTGAGTAATGCCACTCCGACTATTCATCCCGAGTACAACTACAACATCCTGTATTATTTCCTAAAAGATCTCCAAGACAACAACCCTAACACATCAGCATTCCACATCTGTCTCTAGCTATCATTTGTCAACAACGCACTATCAGATTGTAGATCAGTCATCTAAAGCCTCAAGGGCTACTAATAACAAAGCATTAGCAAGTTGTTTCTTGCTTTAAGTTACCATGCACCTGCTTGAGAGAATAACAGGGCTAATCCCTCCAACATTCCTAAAGGAACAGCAGAAAAACACACCTACTAAGCAGCATTAAAATGATGCCATTCTACACAGTATTAAGCACACTGAAAAGCAGGACTTAAGTCCTCCTTCAGAATGCCTCTATAAACAGGAAGCAAGTTCTGAAGTGGATCAAGAGCCATAAGGATGGAACACATCACATACGCACAAGGCATATACACCTATGTCTAACACTGAAAAAACTTGCCAGGTATCTAATAACTTAAGACCAGCTTTTACAGACAAGACAAAAAGATACCTATTCTGAAAAAGTCATACCTACTGTCACAATCAGGAAATAGGTATGGGTATTCTGGTATTCCATCGTAAATACAGAATGACACTGTTCAGGCTGACTTTCCACAAATGAAACAAAAACAATACTGAAAATTATTCAATCAGCAAAGTAAAACTCACCAGCAATATAATGAAATATTTACTGAAAGTTAGTCAAATACTCCCCAAATTATACTCGGTCAGGTGTAAAAACAAATGATACTTCTGACATTTTAAAAAGTTCAAATGCAGGCAGTTCAAATTAATTCTATCCAATCAGATCTACTTATTACCATCTCACTTCTCCTTTCTCTTGCCAGGTTCATGTGGCCTTCTTTTCATGGCCTTTGGGAACACCTTTCGAGAAACAGTTTTCCCTATGCAAGCAGGAAGTCTTCAATTCATTTTCTTCCCTTGTTTCCTCTCTCAAGTCATGTTCTCTCTTCACAACTGCTTCACATAAAAGACACTTTACTTTAGCCCATTGTTCGGCCTTCCCACAACCTATTCATATACACACATTTCAAGCTGCTCAAAAGACCTTGAAATTTGTATTCTGCACATAAAACTGCAGACCAGAGCCAATAAAGAACCAAAGCAGAACAGACTTGCCTACAAACAAAAAATCCCACGCTGCTGTACTCGCTGCCTCTGAAATATGGATATGTTCAAATGCCCTAGTTGCTTTTTAGTTGAATTTAAAGTGTAATTGAAATACACTTCTGTACATGCCCACAACTAACCCGGACTGGACACATACTGGGCAAAGTTTGTCCAATCCACTCAGAATTTAGAAACTATGTGTTCTTCTGCTTGAGGTCATCCCTGAGGTCAATATACTTGGCATGCACAAAAAAACCTAAACTCATCAGAGCCTCATACAGAAGAATTATAAGCTCTTCTAATAAGAATGCTTTAAAACACAGTGCTTTCCCACAGCTGCTCAGTGGGAAAATAATCACAGCATCCAGCTATCAGATGCCCTTAAGTGGGTTTTCAGTAATTCCATTTTTGGAAATGTGAAACAAATCTGCCCTATATTCCTGGGAATCTTTCATTAGAGGTAGACTGAAAACTTTTTTATTCCAGACATACACCTAGTTTTCAATAAGAGACATTTGCTGGGCAAAACTGTTTACCAAAGTCTAGGAACAGTTACATAGGAAGCGCAAAGGCTTAGGGATAGAACAGATTCAACTGAAAGCTTCTATTACATGTTTATTAAAAAACAAAAAAAAACAAACAAACAAACAAACCAACCAAACAAACAGGAAGGTAAAACAGCATCACTTAAATCACATTACAAATATATCCTACAAAATAGTGTCCAACTACTACCTTAACTTGCTTTTCTTTCTTTTTCCGTACATCTTCCCATTCATTCACAATCCTTCCCCACAGGATCCATGAGTCTTCTTCAAGATGGCTGAGATTGCTAGAAGCTGATGAACTAGATACAAGAGAAGATCCACTATTTCTTCTTGACCCATTTACAGATCGTAAGGATTTGCTATCTGTTTCCAACAGTCTGCAAAGAAAGCACACAAAAAACAAATTAAAGTTCTGATCACAGGACCACACTGTTAATTGTGCAGAAGGTGAGTCTTCCAACCTCTTCACAAAGAATGCACCCAAAGGTTGGGTAAAACAATTTTTCCAACAACCATTTGTAGCAAATTTGAAAAGAAGAACTGGTCAATGTTAGTGTCGCTTCTTGAGATCTCAAGTAATTCTGCAGACAGAACAGCTCACACTGCAGAATTCTAAGAAACAGATAAAAATGTCACACCATGCATCAACAACACTGAGAGAAATGAGATTTTAATACAGGTGTTTTGTGGTCTCATGAACTAGATCTCAATACATAAAGGTATCAAATTAGAGGAAGTGCAGAAACATTGAAAGTCCAACTCTCGCACATTCATCAACCAGAGATTAATAGCCCTACAGGGAACATGCACAAGTTTTGTTTTGAGACGTAAGTACCAGCAAGAGGGCTTTGATTTTACAAGCAACAAAAAACTCACAGCTGTTGTGCAGACTGACAAAAAGAACATAGAGAAGCTAAATATCCTCAGTGATACCGACAAAAGTCAAAGTACTGCAAGAGAGACAGTAATTTTAAAGAAAATACAAAAAATTACCCTCTTAAAAGATGTGAGAATTTCTGGGGCTATCAGGCAGGAAGGTATAAAGGTGCGCCAAGTGCAGGACAAGTTGCTCAAGAGACTTCCTTGTTAGCTGGCTGCTATGGCCACCAATTTTGCAAGGAGCTCAGGATTCTAGGCAAAAAGGCGTGCTTTGTTTATCTTCAACTAATATTGAGCCCCATAAGATGGGGAAAAATTTTTAGACCACATGAAGTAAGAGTAAGAAATCAGACTAACTTGAAAAAGTGTTTTGCTATATCAAGTTTCATTTGTGCTTTAGCCTCCAAGAATTCCAACGTCTGTAAATCAGAGTGAGCTGGTTGAATAACTTCTCAATGCACCTGCACAAAAGCTAACACCCCTCCCAGCATTTTGGCAAGGTCAGGTTAGGTTATAATTTATTAAACATCTAAAACCTGAGTTATATTGTACCTGAGATGGTACACAAATTGCAGCATACCTACAATTTTTAAGCTCACTGCTACTAGAGATATTTATACTACCTTTCCCTGTTCCCAGCTTTCATCTACTGGTGTTTATGGAAGTTAGGGAAAAAAGCAAATTAATTCACGAAGACAACAAGTACAGTCTCTGTAGTTGCATTTTGTCTGGAAAAGGGTTAAACAGTAATGCCTTTGGGGGAAAAAAACAGTTTTTTTCAAGATCACTTTTAATTTAGTACATATTCATGGAATGCAGAAAATCTTGTTTTGAGGAAAAAATTTAAAAACTCATTTTTAACATTTAAAAACCTAGCCTATACTGATCCATAACAAAAATTTACAGTTTGGAACTCCTCTTAATCTCAGACAGTGCCTAAAGATCAAATTCTAAGTAATCACAGAGTAAAAACAAGCACAGGATAAACATTACAATTACAAAACCAAGGTTCTAACTAGTCACTCCCAGTTCTTACAGCTTTCTATAGAAGTTATGCTAAGTTTCTGTAATTTGACCTTACCTGGATAAACTCATTGTCCTTATACTTGAAAACTGGAAGTTCTTTTTACAGTAAGTCGCAAGTTCTGTGGCATTTAGTCACTGTTTTCCTTCACTTAGAATTTTATAAATGATTTACTAATGCCGAAGAGCTCCACCAGGACTCTGGACTGAGCTACCTCATTATTCGGAGGGGACTTTTAGTATAACTAGATTACTGAATGCTACAAGACACAGCTCAATACAATTTGAGTTCTTTCCATTTCTAGCTGTTGAAGTCATTCTCTTTATTGACATAAGAGCCAACAATGAAAAGGAAACCTTTAAAATATCCATCACCAGCAATTCTTCCAGCAAGCAGAAACAAGAATAGTTCCCTGTGTTCAGAGTACAATTCCTTGTCAACAAAGTGCTACTGTGCTAAAATGCAGATTCAAACTGTTCTGGAACTACAGTGCACCCAGCATAAGAGCATCAAATTTCTGTATTAAAGTGTAGTATCTCACAAGAAAAGGTACACTTGATAGGATAGCCTCTAACTATAATTCGCACACAAGACTAATGTAGGATTGAACAACAGGTCTGGCTAAACTTAAATAAAACCAGACAGTATTTCCCAGCTTATTTAGTAAATGAAGAAAGCTGACTTGAAAAACAATGCCTAGCAAGCCCAATCTCACATTCCTCTTTGAACAAGCAAGGTAGTCTAACTGCAGGGCTTAATGAGATGACTCTAGATGTAAAGACATTATGCTCCAACACAGATAAGGGGTCCAAAGAACAGGTATTACTGCTTTTCAAATAAGTTAGTCACTTAGTTGTGAACAGAACAGAATGCCTCAGATTAAATGCAAATTAATTTCTTAAAAGCACTCTGTTTAATTTTTTTCTTCTTTTGACAAATTGTCATTTGCACGGGAAAAATTACATATAGTTCATCTTTGAAGGAGACACAATCTCATAAACCACAAGGAAAAGAGAATGAGGTGGTTCTGTAACAAATTCCCTGTAAACTGTATTGCTATTAGGCTGCAGAATATGAACATGAGAGAAGACATGCCAGGTGACACAGTGGCATTAGCCCTTCCTCCTCCCAGTTCTTCTTTTCCTCTACTGCAAGTTTCTGCCCTCATAACTGAATCAGCAGAGTTAAAAAAACAAAAAAACGGAGTACTTCAACTGCCTTGGTGCTGAAGTCCAGCATGCCAGCAGAAGCTGGAACAGAAGCTAGTTTGAGCTAAACTACCAAACTCTACACTTCACTACAGCACAAGGGATAGCCATCTTAGGAGGTATCAAAGCCCTGCAGTTATCTGCTCTATCTAAAACCTATCTGGTGCTCAAGTCCTCCTTTACAGTGAACCTCTCATGAAATACTGGAACATACTTGTCAAATATAACCGTATTTTTATAGCTTAAAAGTCCTGCCTCAGAACTGCAAATAAGTATGTGTTCTGGAAATTCAGCATACAGTCCAATTTTATTTCTTAGTGAGATTGCCAATTTGCAATCACTGTTCTCGTCAAGAGTAACTGATCAAACTGAAAGCTGCATCTTGAACTGTAGATGGTGCAGATAAACATACACTCATGGACAGCCTGCCGAGAAAAATCATTGCTTACTATACAAAAAAAAAAAAGAAGGATGAACAGAAAGGACTTATTGGGAATTTACTTTTCATGAAATTAAGACATTATGCATCTGTCACCATTAGTGTAACAGCAGGAAGACGACTGAACACTGTTCTATCTCTAAACACAGTAGGTCATATAATGGAAAGCAAGAACTGGGTAAAGCTGGAAAAAACAGAGAAAACAGAATTTAAAAAAATCTTTAAGATTTCAAAAGCTAACAGAAAATATAGTTTTGATCTAAGAAGGTGAGAAGGTTACACGCCAAGTCTCATCCCTCAGATACTCTATTTCAAATTGGGTACTGAAAGTCACATGGCTCCAGTGTAATTTCTTAGGATTAGAAGCAGCTATAAACACTCCTTTAAAACCAGGAGAGAAAAACATCCTTTAGAGTTCCACAAAACCAGAACTTGTAAAAACACAGCACAAGCAGACATTCATAAACCCTGGGGCCTTGAAATTGAAATGCTGTGCCATGATGTTTCACCTAAACCCCCTTTAACAGCCTCTATGTTGAAATTGCAATAAACCAATTTTAGTCTCATTACTATACTTTGAAGACCAAAAAGTTTTCCATTCACCTGTTCTGTTCCTCAAGTTTAGCGAGCAATTCTAAGTCGTCTGGACTCAGCTGTGTTGGTGAGGATGGTGATAACGCGGGTGTAGACAGAGTGGTAGAGGAGGATGTAGTGTGTAATGACGTAGATGGACTTGCCACCTGACTGGCCATTTGACTGACGGTGTGCGATACAGTGTTCTTCACCCATGAGAGAGTAGAGCTCAGCTTTCCTGCAACCTTGTCTGTCGCCACCTGTGATGACAAAAAGAAGAGGATGCAATAGTTGTCTTTTTTTAATACCTTTTTTTCATTAAACCTGCTGCACTGAACAAAGGAAACAAATATACAATATGCACGAAATGACATTGAGGTTATTTATTTCTCCAGAACACCCAAAGCTGTCAGAAGCAACACAAGCATTAACAGCAATACGATACCATGGAAGCAGTAACATGCAAGTATGCTGCTAATCTATAAAGAATGACACAGAGGAGTTCCTGATGTATACTCACAGAGCTCATTGCTGCAGTACAGAAATACCACAGGATCCAGGACCAGCTCAGACTTCCCATTACAAAAATAAACAGAATTTAAATCTTATTTTAAAACATCTAGATAAACTAATAATGTCATGGAAACTGTAGAAAAAGAAATACAGAAAGTCAACTACTTTACTGATGGACACTGAAACAGTACAAGTATATCAACACACTTCGTATCACCCACTGCTCACCTTCATCAATCCCTACAGTGGCAGGACAGAGAAGGGGCACAGCATTTTGAATCTATACCAAAGCAAAAGATCCTTTAGCATCTGCTAGCATGCAGAAACCAGTCAAAGAATTTATAACAGCTCCTGAACATCTCTACATTAAGGCCTTACGCTGGCAGCTCTTCTTCCTCACCATCTCTTGAGGTCACCCCTACATCAAGCATCCTTGACCCCTGATCCCACTGCCAGTGCCTGGACAAGCCTGGGGTTTGAGAGGGGTCCTGGAGGAAAAGCAGGAGGAGCTAGAAGAGAGCAGAAGGGAGCTCTGGCAGGCAGTCAGGGAAACTGCAGGCCCAGGGATGAGGAGGTTGACAGGGGCTGGTCATAATCTGCTGCTACTTCTTGACCAGTGTAATGGGGTGACACAACCTGCCAGATTCACTGATCAGTAGAGAAGAAGGAACTGCAGCCCCTGGAGGTATTTTCTAACAAACCCCTCACTAGAGCTTCCTTCAGCAACTGAAAATGTAAGAGGCTTTGACCTACAGGGATTCACAGAGTTCAATTCATCCCCAGCCCAAGTTAGAGAAAAATCTAGATGCACCTTAAAGGAAGAGCTAGCTGCCCAGCAAAATATTAAAACTTTTCAAAACCACGGTTGAGGAGGAACTTCCTTTTAAGTGGTGCTGCTGGCAACTATTCATTTTGACCTTTGATGACTTCCTCAAAACACTGAACTGCCCAATGGCTGTCACAAACAATTCTGCAGTACAGCCTATACAATAATTGCTAAGACACTAAAGAGACCGAACTACAGAAAAAAATCCCTTCCCAAGATCCTCTAATAGAATCTAACTAAGGCAGAATTTCACCTGGAAAAAGGAACTCCATCTCAGCACACTGCATTTATCTGAAGCACAGTATATAGAATGAACGACTGGTTGCTAAAGCAAAAACTTTTATTTTGATACAGTGCTACAATGAACTTTTTTTGTGACTCAAATACAGCAGTATTTTATTTTCAGGTCATCTCAAAAGGAAAACCAGCTGAACGCCTTCAGAAAACGAGAGGAACACTACAGGCCAAAGACAAACAGTGGTACTCAATCTCCCCACTTTCTCACCACCAGCAACAAGACACTTAAGATCTCTCCTAAAGGACTACAAAGGACATATGCTTAACATCCATTCTGAAAGCAGTAGCAGATTTTGCTAGACATCTTCAGATGCAGAGATACAAACCACATGTGGGAACAGTAAGGTCCCAGCATAAGCATTAGAAAGGTTCTAGTTGGTTCTTATGTCACTGTTGGACAGGAAGTCTCGGGCATATCAAAATGTTTTTAAAAAATAACACAACACACATGATATTTTAAAGATAATCTCAAAAAAAACCACTACCAATACTAGTATTTGACACCATCTTTTAAATGAGAAAGGAATAAAAATTGCTAGAGGTTTCAAAATGTTAAGTTTAATACATGCATTAATATCTCACTCAGTCAATATCCTTCATTCTCTATTGCTATGAAGGGATAAATTATTGCTGTTTCACTTTGAATAAAATGGCATTACAATAAAGGTAACTCATACCTCTCACTTAAGACTTATTACTTTCTCAAAAGCTTTAAATTGCTTAAAATATGAAAAGTTACTGCAATTATTCCAAAAATAAGTGCTGGCAGAAACAGGGCCAATCTTAACACAGCAAACATGACTGCCACAGGCAGCAGGTTTTAAGAGTCACCTATTCTAAGAATCTTACATATAAATAATAGAAAAGCACTGATTTGGAGTGATACCCTATGTGACAGAAACAGGAAGGAAAAGTATACAATCAATTTTTATCTCTTTACAAAGTAAAGTAACTCAAAAGACCTAAGGTGAAAAAAGTAAGTCCAAGTTGAGTCAGGCTTATACATGATGAGGCTCACATTCCATGTTAGGATAGCTGAAGCAGAGGGGGTGGAGTGGGGGACAGAAATACACTCTTACTAACATTTATTCACTAACACATCAGTAGGCATTAAAAAATTAATGCAAATGTCAGTAGAACCAATTACGTGAAGAATACTAGGAAAAAGTATGGTCAGGAAAACAATACAAGACAGCAGTTAGCAAGTCTAACAATGTTACCATTTCTAAAAGCAGCTCAGAGTTTCTTTAGAATGTATTCAGAGAATCAGTACCCAAAAACTATTCCTTGTCAACCATCTGAAAGCATTAACACATAAAGCAAGCAAAATGCACAGCTGCAAAAAGCAAATGTTTGAAGATCAGAAGGCTCACAGTCAGTTCATATCAAACACACATGAAGAATTCGTTTGGGGAAAAAGAGCTACTGCAGTCACCCAGGGCCAAGCTAAATTAATAAAAAAAAAAAAAATCTGATCTAATAGCTAACTCCTCAAGCCTACATCCCCTTTTGCCAGGCTTTTCCAGGGCTCCCTAAAAATCTAAAGCCAGCTCTCAAATTGTCAGCATCAGTGGAGAGTCCCGGACCTAGACATGAGGGCATTTAGGTACCTGTTTTGTTATCCACTTCCCTAAATAGATAAAGTAACAGATTTCCGTATTTCATCACTTCACCTATATTAATTTCAAAATTTACATTCAGTGACAGAAGATTTCAGAGTTATTCTTTGACAAGTGATTTAAGGCCTTTCAGAAAACAGGTCAAAATGAGAAGACCTCTCTAGGAGCTACACACCAGTAATTCCTATCAATACGCACACAGTGCTCTTACACTTGCCCTTCCAACTCTTGGCCTGTCTCTTAACAAAGGATGGAAATCCCTGCTACACGTCCAAAGCTTTTCAACTTTATGTACACCGTTCCATTTAAGAGAGTAATTGTACTGAGCTGCCACTAAACCACAGACCCTTGCTACTTCCCACCTTTCCACAGACTTCCTGCAACAAAAAAATACATAGACTTAGTACACAAATAAACCCTAGCAACTCCCACTACTATGACAATACACACCTGTAGTACAGAAATGAATCCTACTCATTCCCAAGAGATATGTACCTCTTTCCCCTGACAGCACAAAGGGAAGAGCTAAAGGTTTCACCCTAGCCCCTTCAGAGAAACTGGGGCTCCCCCGATTAAAAAACACAGAGCTATCAAGTTGTTGAAATTAGTCCTGCTGCCTTTAGTTATATCAATGAGAAAGAACTCAGTATGAATGGTGGCAGATATCTTCACTGGGTATCACCAAATCCAGGAAACAGGAAAATCTGTATAAGCATTTGGTTTAACACATCCCAGTTTTATAGATGTGATTTTGTTTAACACAGCATTCTGGAAAGACACAAGAAAGCCACTATCGTTAAACCTTTTATCTTTTCTTTGTATTTTTGGATAGAGCCTCCTCAAGGCTTTCCTAAACAAATGTTTCTTTTAAAAAAATGGTTATTCTTTAACCGGTGATATTTCTGCAAGCCTGCAGCAGTGACTCCCTTTTGGCGATATTTCTGCAAGCCTGCAGCAGTGACTCCCTTTTGGCTACAACAATGATGCTCTGCACTTCAGTTATGAAGTGTCCTTCCCTTTGCTACGCCTCATGATTGTAGAAAAGAGATCACAGTCATGTGCTCAGCTGTTTGTGGCAGTACCAAGGGCAGCCAGATACACCACCGGGCCCATCCCAAAATCTTAGCTAGGTCACAGCGATAAATCTACCTGCACATGAGATAGGACTTTTGCCTTTGCCATCATCCTCTCACTAAGCATATACACCTACGCTACTTCCACTCTGTTCTGCCTTGCCTTACTGCTGAAGCACACACCCCTGTACAGCCGCTCTACCTGGTGCTCCCTTGTGCTATGCTGTGTATCACAGGCAGCTGAAGCCCAGACTCAGCTCCGCAAGTCCCAGTACTGACCAGAACCATGCAAGCTCTCCATCCCTTCAACTAACCAGCCCAGGCTGGAAGCCCCCAATACGGTATTCTTGGCTCAGCTCACCTCAGCCAGTTTTTCAGCTATGCAAAGAGAATTGGTTTCCTTTTTATTCCCAGCACGTTTTAGATGCTGAAATTCAAGTTACATTTGAAGAGTGCAAAAGGTAACCAACATTGCCTGGGAAACATGTCAAATCATCAAGAGCACCATCAGGATGATCAAGCCGTTATTAATGTGTGAACAAAACCAGACTCAATCCATTTTAAAATCGTGCTTTTTCCCCAGAGTGCTCTCACTCAAGAATCTGCCAATTAATCAGACTTTGAACACAAACACTGCTCCCAGCCCACTCCCAGGGACACCGACACTTTCCACAGACGACAATGGCCAGGACTGGAGACCAGCAGGCAGGGGGTACGCTGTCTTTTCCCTCGGCAGGAGGACACAGGGAACTGAGCAGGTGTCATCCAGCTCCAAACTGGGTATATATTCATTCAGGCTCCAAGCCATATTAACAGCCACACTGCTCCCAGTCTGCCAACAGACAAAGAGCACAGCAAGAGTTCTTTTGCATCTGCCTGCTTAAGACCATGTAGATACCTCCTAAATAAAAGTGTGCCTTTTGGGTTTGAAAATACTGATCTTTGAAAAGATGAGTGGGACAACACTCAACTACTAAAGACTTACTACTCTCCTGCCATTTCCAGTGAGTAAAACAGAACTACCAGGAATTCTCACCCATCTGGTCAGTCATCGGGCAAAGCACAGACCTGTCTGCTACATACTTTAAACTACTGTAAAGATAATAAACTTTTATGTTGATATTATACAGATATACATGATGTGCAGTTTATATATGCCAATTAAAATACATAAAATTCAGTATCACCAGTTTATGTTTAGTATCTTTAATTAGCTGCTGATCATAGCGCTTTATTACCAAGAGGAATTACAATACTG